AAAAAAAAACAAAACCAAAAACCTGGCAGGGTTCCCACTGCTATGCAATAGGAAGGCTCCTGTCACCTGGGGACTCACATGCTGATGTGTGAGTGAAGAGAGCAATAGCCAGGACTCATGGGGGTTTCGGCATGATCCTAATAAACGCTGTCATGCTACCGGTGTTAAGACGGGAGCACTGAACAGAAACTGTCTTAAGAAGTACTGACAGCTTCTTTCCAAAAGCTAAAAAATGTCACTTTCATGAGCTATTCCTTTATGCCAAAAGCACAGAATGGATTTCCAGAGGTTTGTATCTGCTTTAATGCAGCATTTACCAGCCTCTTAAATTCATCCTGCACTCAAATCCAGCTTCCGTGATAAAGGAAGATAATATTAGCTTATATGAAATACCACATCATCTTACATCCCACACAAAGCTTTAGCCTGAGGATTTCCAGGCAGACACAGTTCATCCGAAGGAATTGAAGGTATAGGGGGTGATGGGATCAAGTCACATCTGCATTTCCTTTCTTCTCCGGCACCCCTCTGGTTAAGCTTGTGCTCCTGAAGTGCTCTTTTGCAACAGGGTAAACAAGTAAATGTTTTGGGCTCAGGAGATACCTGTTGTCCATAGAAACACGCTTATTTTGCCTTTCTCAGGTGGTCCTTAGAAACCTAGCATCCTATAGGAAAGGAAAATAGCAGAACATCTCAGAACTGCAGTTATTGAGAAATGACAGCCTTTGTCATTCGTATAGAAAATTTCCAACTCCCACTGCCTCTCGACGAAAGGAGAACAAGCGCTGCCATCCCTTTTCCACAGCTGACAAAACAGATAAGCATTAAGTGACTGCCAAGCACGATTTACTGAGTTATCAGCACAAATAGTAATACAGCCCTGGACTTCCGACCCTGGTGCTTCAGCTTCCGGGCCATGCTTTTCCCATTTGAATCACTAGTTTTTGTGAGTTGCTAGGATTCGTTCATTTCTTTCTACAATAACAATCAATAGATTTTGAGTCTCTAAAAATTAATGTAGACTCGCTGCAAAAGTTGAATAAAATTATTACATTTCATTAATACCTTTGCCATTGGCAATGGAAAGAGAAGACAGCGGATAGAGACAAACACCGGCAGCTAAACTTTTATTGCACCCTCCGCTTCTGAAGTCCATTCAAGAGTAGGACAGTGGGACAAAAATAATTATAGGGGTCTTTCTACACAAAAGAGCCAGCTATTTAGAGGCAGGCAAAGTCATTTGAATGTCAATGAAATAACCATTAAAAGGCTGAGAAGCATTGCCATTTATTAAAAGATCTAAAGAATAGTTGCATGCACTATAGCAATCTTCTAGGTAGGAGTTGTTAATTTGGTATAAAAACCTATTAGGGACAGGGCAGAGCATAATTAAACAGGAGACAATACACACTGTGAAAAGGAAACTGGATTTGGAATTTTACAGCCTCTTATTTCACGTTTCTACATGAAATACTATGCCCTATAATCTCTCCCCAATAACACCTATGTATTTCTAGCTCCCACAGTGTTTTGTGCCTCATTTCTAGCCATGGTCTCCTACAGCCCAGGGGAGGAAGGTAAAACAAGGTTACGCACTTGAATGCCCTCCCACTCTTTCCAGCCTCACGGCAATCCTTCTTCCAAGAAAGCCTCTCATCAATGCCACTCCTTAATTGGCCCGAGCGTCCGTCTTTAAACAAAGCTCTCGTCTCCCACAGGGCCCGAGCTCTTTCTGCTATTCTGGCAGAGCTAAATCCAGACAAGGATGTGCCATTTACCAACACAAGCGTACTATAAATTCCAATGCATGGGAAAGAAGTGAGGTACTTCCAGGAGAAGCTGTTGGCAGGACAGGGGATTTGCAGGTAGGATGAACCACATCTGGAGAAGAACTTCTATCTGCACATGAACCTGTCAGGTCGTTACTTCAAGAGAAAGCCTAAGATGCTAGTAATGCCTCTCAGTAACAAACACGGGATCAGTCGGAGACTGTGGGTAGGTTCTGCACCCATGCACTGAATGCGAGCTAAACCAGACTGTTCGGTGCAAAACTTTGTTTACAGAGCTATAGGACAGATAAAGATTGCATGAACTAGACAGGAAAGGACTCTGCATTTGTAAAGATGACCACTTTTCTATATTAATGCAAACCAGTAAGAATATTGAGGTGCAGCGCAGCTTTAACCTCTTCTTTAGCAGCAACCCCCATCTCTTCGCCATCTGCCCACCCACTGCCAGGCAAGTAGGAGTGACACACAAAACGTATCCTAAATTTTCACTCCCTTGGCCGTTATTCTGAGGCACCCCGGTTCTTTATGTACTCAGCTAGCATAGCTGATTATACCGTAACATTTGAGAAACAAGTAAATACAAATGCGCGCAGCAAGACTAAATAGCAATCGCTCCACATCTCCCGTGATACCCAGAGTCACAGAATTCTCCACTGATACATATCAGACAAACGTGTCATTTAAAATACTTTGTTCTTTCTCCTTTATTTAGCCACAACACAAATACAAGAGCAGTCAAACCCCGCCCAGTGGAACTCACTAAATAAGACCTGTTCAGGTTAAGATTCTCAGGAACTGAACCGAAATATACATGTACACGCACATGCTCTCACGCACACAAGAATGCAGCAGAGCCCTTACAAAATGAGGAGTGGCACCGAACTGCACCTAGAAGTAAAATGCCACAGAAAAATCAACCGGTTAGGATACATCTGTTAAGCAACAAGGCCGTGCACTGGCTGGGTTCCCACTGCATCATTCCATCGGCTTTTTAAACACCAGCATCATTCGTTT